AAAAAATAAGTTAAAAAAAATAAATTATAAGATAAACGAATAGGACCATATTTTAAGACCGGTGACGATGGGCGTACAGACCCAGCAGTCCTACGGCGGGGCCTGCAAAAGATGGCCAGGAAACTGCGCTCTGTTTATTTAGTTTATAAACCGTATTTTTTCAGGCTAACAAACGGTATTTTTTTAAATACAACAAATTAGTCTACAGTACAAGCGAACAAGTCACGGATCGTTATCCCCAGCGCGCCGGCATTGGATGGCGTGAGCACTTCGTTTCTTTGTTGAGACGATAGGGTGTTAATGATGTTTTCTATTCTTTTTCTACATTACCTCTTTTGTCACATCAGCTTTTTATGACATGGTCGGCTCATTTATTTCTATAGAAACCACGATGGCACAGGGTTGGGAGTTGGGACTACCTTTAGGACACTGGCAGTAGATAAGCTAGTTAATTGCTCTAAGTTATTTTTCTCAACAGCTAGGGTGATAATCTCACATGACACTCTCACATCATCATAAAATATTTATATGAGCCTAGTATTTAATGAAGAACTAGATTTTCTCTCTTTTTTATTGAAATATAAAAAATGCTTAGAGCTGGCTATGAATCACCTGTCGTGGATGCCCTTAAAGGTGTAGTACTAAAACTTTTCACTGAGAGAGAACTTAACTACCATAACTCTCCAGCGCCAAACGCCGCGAAATTCTTCGTATTCCACACGCTGTTGGACTCCCTGCATGGCCGCATGCTCGCGTTCGGCGCTCCCACAGAACGCCCGCGCGTGACTCCCGCGCCCTGCAGTGATTTGCATTTTCATTTTCAATTTTGCCTTTGAAAATTGCGGGCATGCATAAGAAATCAAGTTCACCGCTCAAATCTCCCGCTTTAAGGTTCTAGGGTGTTTAAAATTTTCACTCTAGCTGCACCTACGAAGCCTCCACAGTTCTGTATATACCCTCTCCGATGGTATGTCTGAGTCTGAGTCAGGCTCAGGTTCGATCCATGACTTAGTCCCATTTTTAAAAAATTTCTGATTTTTTGTTTGGCTTTGAGCGGGCTTTTTTCCTAAGGGTTATTTAGATTCATGCCTTTATAATTTTCGACGTTTGGAGAAACGCCATTACTATTTATCTATTTTGAAGCATGCCATTATAATTCTTCGTTTCCCACAAAAATGCCACTGAATACGTATGGACACAGCCTTGGGGCAGCTACAGGCGTATACGAAGACGTATACTTCATCACCCCTGTCACTGACACGCGGGCCCCACATGTCATCTTCTTCTTCCTCCTCTCTCTCTCCATCCTGACGCGGCCACGGCCACAGCGAGCAGCAGCAAGAAAGCCTTGCGACGCTGAAGCAAGCGGGCGTAGCAGCAGCACGGCTACCGGGCTAGGGGGGGAAGGGCCGTGTGCTCTCTTGGAGCTCATGCGGACGAGGATGGTACCGCGCCTTTCGGAGCTCGCGGGCATGGGGATGGGGTCGCGCACTTTGGATCTCACCGAGACGGGGTCAGCAGCAGGCCAGGGACGAGGAGGCCACGCCGCCGGCCGGGGACCGGAGCCAGCGTCGCGCGCCGCCATGGAGGCACTTGTGAAGCTCGACCTGCGCCGGATTCATGGAGGAGGAGGTGTCTTGGCGCCCACCATGGAGGTACTCGTGAAGCCCAACCGCGCCAGATCCATGGAGGAGGAGGTCCGGGATGGATGCCAGCCATGGAGGAGGAGGAGCTTCGCCGCGGGGAAGGCTAGCAAGCAAAGACGCCGAGCAACAAGCAGCAGCAAGACGGCGCGAGCGCGAAAGCAAAGACGCTGGTCGAAGCCACGAGGTCCGCGCCGGCCACGTCCTCGACTCGCCGCCCGGGTGGTGAGCTCCGCACCGCCGCCGTCTCCGCTGCTTTCGGTATGTGGCGCTCCGTCGCCGCCGGCTGCTCACCCACATGGCCATGAGTCACGACAACAATTTTGTCGGCTCGCTTTGCAAGCCAGCACCGCCGCCGCATCAACAACGCCCGCCGTGGCCGCGTCGGGATGGAGAGAGGGAGCCGGAGAGAGATGCGGAGAGGAAGAAGAAGATGACATGTGGGGTCTACGTGTCAGTGACAGGGGAGATGAAGTTTACGTCTTCGTATACGCTGCAGCTAGGCCCAGGCTGTGTCCATACATATTCAATGACATTTTTATGGAAAATAAAGAATTATAATGGCATGCTTCAAAATAGACAAATAGTAATGGTATTTCTCCAAACATCAAAAATTATAATAACATGAATCAAATAACTCTTTACTTAAACCCGGTAGCGGTGGCTTTGAGATGGCAGCCTACGTGCATGCGGGGATAAAAACAGGCGGCGCAGCATCCAATTCGCGCCTGCGGAGCGAGACGACATGGTGGGGTTACTGCATGCCACATGGGCATGGTGGGGTCCGGCAGTCAGCAATCGTCATGGGGAGGAGACGGATGCGGCATTTTGAATCTAGGAGCGGGCGGCGACAGTGGGTCCACAAAGTTAGAAGCTAATGCAAAGTAGTCCACAATATAAACTCTAAACTAGCAACCCACAAAGCTTTATATTTTTATATATACAATAAAGCGCAACATATGTAACAAAATAGCTGATAGCGCAGGCACGTTTGTTTACTCTTAGAACGCCGGCAATGGTGTTAGCGTATGTAGCTAGCTTACATAGAGGTAAGAGACAAAAGGAAATATTATTTTATACATTCTTATTTTTTATGTATTATTGGACCCACATGTTTCTCTCTCAGATTCTTGGGCTATGTGAAATAGATTAGCTATTTGTTCGTCGCTAGTGACTATTCTCTCCTACTTTTTTCCTATCCACGTCAGAATAGCTAGCCAAATAGCTAGTTGTTGGGGACGCCCTTAGAAGCCCGAGTTCCAAATCTTGGTAACTTGCATGATGTGGTTCGTGTAGGGGCCTCCAAATCGAGGCACGATGAACGACGGTGGGACCCACCTGTCGGTGGAGGGAGGGCAGGAAGAGAGGGAGAGCGAGGGAGTTTGAATATGTCTACTGAACGTGGAGTTATTTTCAAATGCACTATCCAAGTTTGATGCTCCCTTTCCATGACATATGGGCCACTCGATTATTTCAACTTTTAATTAAAAAGATTAATAAAATGATCTATTTATCACTTAACTGGTCATGGATGTGGCATAAATTTGTTTCATGGCGCATGGGCATGTGCATGGTCCTGTTTTAAACTTTAATGCATTCAAGCTTATCCTTTCTTTATTGCACCTTCGTCCTTTCTTTTCTTTTACCGATCAACATGCCACTTGTGCCATCAACTCAATTTTTTATTCAAACCACCAACTAGAATATTTTCTTTCATATTATATTGCCATGATGGGGTCGGCCCCACCCTAATAGATGACATGGAGAAGGTGGTGCGCAGAGACTTATGACGAAGCGACGTTGGTTACAGTTCTAAAACTAAGCGTCATAGATGAGTATTTGGTTCAATGACAAAGTGATATTCGCTGCAGTTCTAAAACAGAGCGTCACAGATGAGTAGGGCGAGGGGCATGTGTGATCTGTGACAATATTTAGGGTCGTTCAATAACGATATCTGGCTTTGTCACTAATAGGCAGCGCCCGAGGTCCGCCACCAGTGATCCATGACGAAACATAAAATTGTCATAGTTATGTGCTGTTCTGTGACACAATTTCACTTCGTCACTAAAAATTCATCATAGTTGTCCACATTTATACTAGTGACACCAAAGCTTCCAAAAATTTAGGAAAAATCCCACAAAATTTTGGAAAATGATGAACCCAAATAAAATATTAGGAGCATATGGAAAGCTATTTTGAAGCTTCCAAAAATTAAATTTCGCGCTAGAAAATAACAAAAAATCTATAGAAAATCTAGAAAATTCTTGAAGAATATCAAATGATTCCTAAACACATTTAAAGTCATTTTGGCATTCATAAAACATAAGATGCAACTAGCATGAATGGAACCAAATATACTTTTACAGATTTAGACTGATTAATTTAACTTAAAAAATAATAATTTTCCTTTACTAAAAATTCAAATTGTTCACTAAATGTTTGCAAAATTTTAGAAATTTTGGAAATCATAATTTAACCATACTTTATGTTCACATTCCAAAATTAAAATATTTTGGGTGTGACAAATGTATGCCAATGATGTAGCCAAGATGTGGAGCTACCTAGCATGGAGTTGAAATAATTAAAGACGTGTCCTAGTTATCACTATTTATGAAACATTGTCTCCCATAGATGCACCTAAACTTGAAATGTCTATTATGAAATGAATATAAGAACTTTAGTTCTTCAATAAATTATGTGTTAGATTATTATAGATGTGTTTTAACATTAAGTGTTTGTGATAAGTCTAATAATTGATGCATCTTAATTAAACACACATGTGATTAAATCCATTACAAAAACATCTAATGGAAAAAATCTATGATGAGAATCATCACACTTATGACTCTATGAGTATGTCATTTTACGTGTTTGTTATATCTTTAGATCACAAATGTAAATTTGGAAACATAAAATTTTGCCCTCTATAGTTAGCCTTTAGCAACCTTACTCATCATTCTAGTACAAATAAAGATCGATGATGCCCTACTACCATAGTTTCTATTGGCATAACTTTCGTAAGTTTCCATAACAAGATTACATGGAGTATGAAAGTAAAGAAAATATATTGAGCATGATACTATTCCATTGTTTCTTGCCATGTTTTCAAAAAAAAGGTATGTTGAGATGAAACAAGATATTTAACTTGTCATAAGAAAAGGAATGACATGGATTTCATCCACAAAACACCACATGGCACAAAAAAGTCTTATAGTGATTACAAATGGCTCAAAAACAATGGATGACAAAATAACAAGACCATAGATGGTCACACATAAGCATGATTGGTAGAGAACTATAACCCAAAGACTATTTAGGCTTGCATTCCCTTTTTATTCATGGTCTCCCTTTAGCTCATCACATGTAGCTAAGAATACGAGGCACATCAGAAACCTTGAGAGGCTTTATCATGTATTCCTCTGCCCCTCCTTCAATGCACCTGAATAAGGAAAATATAAATAATTTGGTTACTTAGATAACATATGTTTCACTCATGCAATATTCATTGGTTTTCCTTTACTCACTCAATGATTCTTTCTGGGATGACATCAGTGCATGTTATCACCACTGGAATGTGCTTCAGTTTTGGTGATTCCTAGATTAGAAAAAGTTTGTTATAAGTTATTTGTGTTTAGAATACATAGAGGCATTATAATAAATATTAAACTAAAGTACTATGGCATTAAGCTTTGTTAAGATTATAAATGGCCAAAAACAAGATTTACCTTCACTTCCCTAAGCAAATCGTAGCCAGTCATATCAGGAATGCAGTACTCAGTCAAAATAAGGTCCACACCATTATTGTTCTATATGTTCCAAGTTCAAGATGTAAACATGTCAAATATAGTAAACAACCACAATAACTTAAAGTAGTACATAGATATACAAAACAATGTTGATGTACCACATCCAAGAATTCCAAGGCTTCCATGGCATCTCCCGCAATAGTTACTAAAGAAAATAAAAAAATACAAATTTACACACAAAGAACAATGGATCATAGTAAAATAACAATGCATCCTTCTAATGTTTTATCTATTTTATAGATGTTGCATAACATGTTCTGAATTTCTATTTATGATGTAGTTCAAGGTGCAAATAATTGCAAATGAATAAGTGTTGGTATCATATCTGAGATAATATTGTACCAACATTCTCTATTGTTCAAAAATATGTGAAAATCACATTACTAGAAAAGTAAGTCAGAACTACTTGATAATTATTTTTAAAACTCATAATAACCATGATACCTCGAATGTTGAAACTGTTGAGGGTAAATGATGCAACAACGCAATCAACACGACAATCATCCACAAGGAGAATGTGGGGAGTTTGAGTGGCCATGGATCTAGCCACACAGGTTCTCTACGTATTAACCTTTGGTATATGTATTTGTATTGCAATGTTTGTACGATTGAAGGTAGACTGGACTTGTTTATATAGTAAACCATGAATAACTGACAATATCCTTAAGAAACTAACGATATCCTTAAGATAGAGAATTAACAATATCCTTAAGATAAGAGATAGCAAATACTAGCCGGATTTGGCTGTCATGTCTCATGACATGACAAGATGATCTCTATCATTTAACAGTAGCCAAATCCACCTACCACATTTAAGATGTGAAGATTAAATATATCTTCCATATTGATGCCTACTACATCTTCGTATCTATCACTAAAGATCCACTCAATATTGTATAGCTGTTGGTGTTTAATGACTAACAACCTGTCATGGGGTTACCCAGGACAGAGTTTGGGGAGCTTCGACGTATGTAGAACTCAGCGGTAAACGCGAAGACAACAATTTATACTGGTTTAGGTCGCTAGAATAGCATAATACCCTAGTCTAGTTAGGCGTGATGCCTTTGTTTTGGGGTGTTGTGTATGATTGATTGGATACAAGGGGTGCGCGCCTACCTCTCTTTATATAGTCTAGAGGGCAGGGCATATTGTTGATACCTGGCGGACCATATGATAGCGGTGTTTCGAACCTGCTCGAGCATGTCAACGTCCGCTTGGCGCTGTTCATCGGCCTACTGCTCGTTGTAGAAGTGAACTCTAGGAGCATTGAAGTCAAGGTCAAAGGGGATGACCGCCTCAGCCCCATAGACAAGGAAGAAGGGTGTGTAACCGGTTGATCGGTTCACACTCGTTCTAAGGCTCCAAAGCAAGGATGGGAGTTCATCCACCCAATGGCTGGTGTGGATCTTGAGCTCATTGTATATGCGAGTTTTGATCCCCTAGAGGATTAGCCTGTTGGCATGCTTGACCTGACCATTGGACTCGGGGTGGTACACCGATGCCCAGTCCACCCGGATACGCCAGGCGTCATAGAAGTCTAGGAACTTGCGACCTGTGAACTGAGTACCATTATCGATAATTACATGATTTCAAACCCTAAACCTGTGGATGATGTCCTAGATGAACTCCGCCACGCGCTCTAACTTGAGGTTGATGATGGGTCAGACCTCGACCCACTTGGTGAATTTGTCGATGGCAACCAAGAGGTGATCGAATCCCTAGGGGCCTTCTTGAATTCCTCGACCATGTCCACGCACTAGATCGCGAACGGCCAGGTGATGGGGATTGTCTAGAGCGCCTGCGCCGGTAGGTGATTCTGCTTGGCGTAGTATTGATAACCCTTGCATGATTGACAAGGTCCTTAGCGTCGACGAGGGCCATTGGCTAGTAGAAGCCATGCCTGAAGGCCTTCCCTATGAGGGCCCTCGGAGCAGCATGATGACCGCAGATGCCAGTGTGGATGTCGAGGAGTAGCTTCCTCCCTTCTTCTGGGGGGACACATCGGAGGAGCACCTCGAAGGCGCTCCAGCAATAGAGCTGCTCGTTGTTGGTATTTCTTAACGCATACAGAAATAATCCGCAAGCGCACGTAATTACCGTTGTAGCACTTCACCCGGAAGTGTTTAGGGTATCGCATTTTCCACAGGGAACGGAGGTATTCTCCTAGCTAGTTCATCCAAGGACAACACAATGGTAGAGTAGGTAGAGGGTAGAGATGGATTCCTATGGTTTTAGGATCTAAGAACAGATAAACTCTACTTCTACTTGCTTACTTTAGGCATCAGAGCGAACTTGGTCTGCCAGGTGATCCTAGCCTATAGCTCTACGCTGTACCCAAATATGGGGGATTACAAGAGATGGACAGAGCTGTCACCACTTGTCGCCTACCCCTCAACCATGGTGTACGAGGCAAACAAAGCTTGCCTCTAGCCTAGACACGACGTCTACGCTATCGACTACTACTCTAGCGTTGTACAAGGTGATCCGTCCTTATTGGGAGCCCTCTACTAGAGTATTCACCACAGGGACATACGATGAACCCGCAAACAAGTAGAGTAAAATTTAACTAATCAAAGAATTTATAACCAAAAGAACCACGAACACTTAGCAGGAGAACCCGATGAAGTATAGCGCTGGTGTTCGTTGAGGTATAAGGTGGGGAGACACCGACAAGTCCGGCGCTTCCCCAAACTCTCTCTCACATTTCTCACTACTACACAACTCTAGAAAGCTATGGCCTAAGCCTTGGAATGGTGCTCTTGGTATTGCTCTTGCTCCTTCAGGTGTTGGTCAAGAGGAGGAGCTCTCCCTCTCTATTTATAGTCATAGAGAAAGTTAGTTTGGAGGGATATTCATCGCATGTCCACATGCAATCTCCTTGGGGAGATCACCACGAAGCGCCATGGGGAAGGAGGAGGCAAGAGGCATGAAGGGGGGTGCAGCCGCACCCAAGTGGAGCCTTCCTGCCACCGCCTTTGCATGGTCAATTCTCCACTAGGACTTGGTTTTGTCTTCGGTGGTTTGGCCCAGTTTTGGTCTGGTGGGGTTTGCTTTATGGACTTCTTTCTCCACCTAACTAAGCCCTGTTATGCCTGGTAAGTGGGCCTTCTCCCTCTACGTCATGTCGAGTATATGTTTTGCTGTGTTTCTTATACACTTCTGGCTCATTTTCTGTGTAATCTTGACATGTCCTCCTACAAATGAATAATCACCAAAACTCATGGAATTGATTAGTTATAAGTTCTAATTCTAAGTTTGGTGTTTATTTTAGCAGATTTTATATGAAAGTTGGTAGTTAGAAATTGGAGTTAAGGACTACCAACAAGTACCCCCACACTTAGCCCTTTGCTCGTCCTCGAGTAAAGTTAAGGACTAAGATGGGTCATCTTCTTGATATGAAATATGCATACAAGTTATTCCAAGCTTCACCTGCACTTGTGAACTTTGGAGTGTCTACCACATTATATTGGGTGATTGAATAATGGAATAGCATGGATTCAAATCCTCTTGCATCAATCAGTTCAAAAACTTTGGGGTTTCATTTGATTTTGAAAATGTAAACATAGCTTAGCTCCTCAAATAATTCTCTTAGATCACTCAAGTTTTTGTGTAGTTCCTCAATAAGGCATATCATAGTGTTGCCTTCTTTCTTTCCTACTTCTAAAAAGCTTAATGGATCTTTGGTTAGGGAAAGATATGAAGGCATACTTACTCTGCATATTTTGTTAAGTCAAAGCTCGGATCCAAGGAGAAAGATGTCATACCCTTAGATCAAGAAGTGCAAGTGTGTGGAATATGGTGGAACTATACTCCTCTATTTGATATGATCTTTTCTCTAGCTTTTTATTGTGAGACATGGCTAGCATTGTTTTCTTTTTTTTATATGAGCCTTCATGTGCTCATCATTTTTTTTCAATACTCTGGGACCTTCATGTGCCCCATTTTTTAATACCTTTGCATAGCTTTTGTCTCTTTTACAAAAAACACGCTTAGAGAGATCATTATCTTGTAGAACTTGGAGTATCTACCTAACAAACACATATATTTTTTTATGTCTGCTCCTAGTGTAGGAGTAGAGGTTTTGGTGGATCTAAATGGAAGCATGTCTTTGCGTACTCCCAGTGTAGGAGCAGCATGTGTATGTGGGTGTACGTGATCTTGATCTCAGGGGCATGATAACTTTCTCAACAAAGGTCGATAAGACTTGACAAAACTCAATACATGAATAAGTAGCATAAGTTTGTAGGTCTTAAGCTTGAATCACTAGATATGGCTTTGGTAGGAATTTGCATATCATCGAGGAGCATGCTATTTGGATTTGATTTTGTAAAATAAATCCTAAGTTCTTTGCATAAGAGAGCAATGCTCATTTTCATCCCATATAGTCCAATTGGTCAGAGTACCCGGCGGCACTCCTCAGGTCCTGGGTTCAACCCCGTGGGAGCAAATTTCAGACTAAGGTTAAAAAATCCCCTCGTCTGTCCCATATCCAAAGCAGTGGAGGGGCACCAGCCCAATTCTCACTTGGGCGATGGAAAGCCACCATGTAAGGGTGGGGCGGGGGTTTGGGGTGAGAAGGTCTTCTTCTTATTTGGAATGCTGTGGGGGCGGTCTTAACCCCTTCTGGTCAAGTTTTTTTATATCACATATTCCAATTACTTAGATACTATGGGCTCCCTATGATGAATTGTTCACATGTTATAGGATTATTAGTTAGGAATAAAGAGTATGCAAATTTGATCAAAGGATAGCATGGAGACATTTGTTTTGTATTTTAAATTTGTTCAGTTTTATCCTTTATTTAAAATATAGGGAGATGAGGGTAGTGTTTGCACAAACCATCATTGAAGAGGAATGAGTCAAAGGAGTCATAAGTGGTTTGGCTAAACCAGGGGTTTAGCCAATCCTTTCTAGAGCTTTCTGTCATGTCCTTCTGCATGCTGGATTGTTGATTGTGCAACATGTTGGGGGAGATCTCGAACGTGTCTTCGTAATGCATGAGAGATCTCCCCCACACTTATTCTTGTACCTATTTATTTGATAAAGAAGCAAAAATGGAAACAAACAAGGGCTCTGCCGGTTTTGAACACCGGGGATCCTAAATTTTATTATTTATTATCATCTTTAAAAAATTTATTTATTATTTTATTATTTTGTTATTTTTTAATTGTTCATCCAACTTTCTATCTTTTAGCATAAATCATGCAAAGCTAAGGTAAAGTTTGCAGAATGATCCTAGCCTTGGTTTATCTCCATTATAGATTACCACCATTATTTATGAAAATAATAACTCAAGCTCATTAATCAAGATTCAACACCATGTCAAAATTTGATTAAAGAAGACTATTTTAACGTAAGCACCATGCTAAATTTAAAAAACCTATCAGTGTACCTATAGAAGACACCCAAACTAGAGCATATGACATAAACAAGGGAGACATGAATTTGCATGATCATATGGAGACAAAAAATAAGTAAATGAGTTGGTGAACATTTATTTTTTTATTTTTTTATGATAATCCGGGTTATCTTCTGGTA